ATAGATAGATAGATAGATAGATAGATAGATAGATAGATAGATAGATAAATAAATAAATTCTTGTCAGCTTGCCATCATGATAAATGTTCAATTCACCACAACAGACACTTTATAATTTCATCAACATGGCAGCGAAACATATCTCTTCATAGTCACATCATGCATATCTAGTATATATTTTTTAATGTTAAGTTGTACTTCTGAAGGACTTTCTGCATGCTGTGCTTGAAGTATTTAAAGTCTCTTCTTTGGTTTCCATCTGCTCTCCATCTAAACATCTGCTTTAGCCTCTCATTCCCAGAGAAAACACATATATTTCAGCTGAGATCAACACATGTTTATCAAATGGGGTGGACCTGCTATTTTGTATTGCACTTGTGTACAACAAGGTGAGTCACGGAAGGAAATAAAAATACTGTTTAATGCAGCAGAGCTGGAAGCATCCTGTCTTCTGTTCGCAGTACGGATGGAGCTACATTTGAGCCTGGATTTAGCTTCTGACAGGATTATATAAACAGATCCTGGCCAGCTAGTACCAACAAAAAATTCATGACCCAAAAATCAAAAGCTCTGTAGAATTTGCTTTATTTAAAGGTAAAGTAGGAGAAAGACAAAATCTAGAGCTTCGACGTCAATTTAAAATTCATGCAGCTGTGTAACCCACTGGGTCATTTTTCTTTTCTTTTTCCTGCCATTTCATGTTTAAATATCAGCCGTCTGAGTTTGTGAATGCCAGCTTTGCTCCGCATAAATATGGCATTCACATTTGCCATTTGTGCATCTGTTCATAAACAGTGTTTGCAACAATGCTTTTGAATGATGTTCATGTGCACAGCTCTGCCTGTAACAGCACGAGCTACGAATTATTTCAAGCCTGACAAAGTTCCTTCAGAACCACAGAAGATGTCAACTAATTTTTTGTAACATAACCTGTATTTACAGGGTGTTTAAAACAATGCAAAGACAGTTAAAAACAGCCTTGCTGATGGGGCAGCTTAAAGTTAGCAGGTCATGTACAACAGTTAAAATATGACAACTGGTAACTTCATAAAAAAAAAAAATAATTCAAAAAGTCATGTTGTTCTCTCTTATTCCTCTGAATTATAAACAATGTTCCACTGGTCATGTGTAAAACAGAAAATTTGGGAAATTGTGAAATTGAAACATTTCTCACTTTTAAGAAATTTTACTCACACAAAAATATTTACTGTATTTTTCGTACTATAAGGCGCACCGGATTGTTCAGTTTGTACTCGGATTATAAGGTGCATTAAGCGAAACAAGTTCATTTTGACAGATTTTTGAGCACCGTGTACCACATAAAATCGGTTTGAGGTCAGTAAGCACAACCAGAATTAATATATAAGGCACATCTGATAATAAGGCTCGCTGTCGATTTTTGAGAAAATTAAAGTATTTTACGTGCACATTATAGTCCGAAAAATACAGTAGAATGCGATCTGGACTTGAAACCTACCCCCCACCTCCAATTAACAAACCCAGAACTGATAAACATGTTAAAAACTCATAATTGGACTTTCAGCTAGGTGAGTGTGTTGCTCATACACAGGTGGTGAGTCTTACACTTGTGATGTAATTAACGGTGTTTACAGGCTGTCAGCTGGTGTTTTAATGCATGCAACTTATGACCCTTCCGACTTTCCATACATCCACCTTACACTATCCACGCTTCTGCCATTTATCACTGGGAACTTGAATATATATATATAAAAATACATA